GTTGTGAAAGTGATTCGTCCGTTTGCTCAGTGAGTTTGCTGAATGTCTCTCACCACTCTTCACCCCATTTCACTCTTGAATCTGTACTGGGCAACAAGGTTTGTGTGGGCAGAATAAACAAAACACCATATAGTTTTCTTTTCTATTGCATATATTTAAAGGTGCACTATGTAACTCATTATTTCTCAAAGACTGGCGATCCTCAGGTGCGTCACAAGAGATTTTTTTTAAGTCGCCTGATCTGCGTGTTGCGCTCTCCTCCTGCACCCCGGACTGGAACGCTACAAAAATGCAGACAGGCCCACCTGTCTCATTAGATATGTTGACAAGTTTTGTATAATTTCTAATCATTTTGTAATTATTTTATTGGCTTTGTTCCAGTATTGCTGGTTCAATTGAATGTTGACAAGAAAAAGAAATGGGCTTCATTTAACGTCCAAACAGGCGACTTATGGATTCCTTTTATTGCTGCTTCAATTATGGTTTTTCATTGTTTGAAACTTGAGTAATACTAATTGTTCAAAGAGACAGAATCACTCAGTCAATAATAAAATATCCTCATTAATGTTCAGTAATGGTCAAATCCACCTTTATTTTGTGATTTACAAATAACGTCTATTGACTTGGGTCACGAAGGTTTGTGACTTTTAAAATATGGGTCCCCAGAAAAAAAAAGTTTGGGAAACACTGGTGTAACTTGTCTGGAGATGTTATTGTTTGGTCTGGAATGTTCCACAGTATGGTATTAAAAGTATATATATATTTCTCCATGGAGACAGACAACAGATCGCACAAGACCAAGTTGGCAGATCTGTGGAGAGGTCAAAGATTGCATGAGTGCCGTTTTGGCTAAAGATAAATCACCTATAATTTAATAGAGGTAACATAGATATGTTTGATGCTCTACCGTGGAACATTTCAGGTAAAGCAATAGAATTTCCATGAAAACAAAGAGGTGCCAGACACTGGACCAGAAAAGAGCTCAGCTTTAAAGGTCCAATATTATGCAAAATTCATTCTTTTGAGCTTTATGCCATGTTAGAATGTGGGTACCTCCTCAAAAACATACCCAAACTTGTGCTTTGTTTTATTCACACGTTTGAGTAATCCAACATTATTAGTCTGTCATTATTAATCTGTGTCTCTTTCAAAAAGAAATAAATCTGAATCATCATAACGATTCTAGTGAAGGTTTATGGATTTATGGAAAACAAAGCACTTCCTGTATTACCATATGACATCACGAGGTGGAACAGAGTGTTTTCAGTTTGAGAGGAGAACTAAATGTGCCGGATTTGTGTTAAACGTGTGAATGAAATAAAACAAACTCCAGGTTTGTTTTTGATGAGGAAACAGTAATATTGCAATATAGACCCTAAGTAAACTAACTCAAACTAAACTATTTACACTCAAATGTACTGGAGGCAAGTTGAGGGAAATGTCTTGCCTTAGGACACAACCACAGAATGCACATACTATATGGAAAAAAAAACAAAAAAAAAAACAGCATTATTCGTCCGCCCAGGTCCTAATGGTGGGACTGTTTATTGATGTGATTGTGGCGTGTGTTGGTGGCGTGTGGCCTGGCCCTCTGCCTAACCCTGGACAAGTATGTGGATAATGAGCGGCATCTCCAGGGGCCAGTCGCTCTGTCAGTGTGGATCAGTACAATAAGAGGATGGAGCGGGTCCCAAGGGTCTCATGATGAACATTTTTACGCTGCCAAACTTCTAAAGACAGACAAATCACGTAATAATGTATAATATGTGAAAGTGAAGTGGTACTCTGGTCTGATCCCTACCAAGGCGCCGCTGTACTATGCTTGTCTTCATGATTATTGCTTTGTCTGAAATGTTGCACAATATTAGCCACCTAGTGCCTCCGCTCAATTTCATTTCTCTCCAGCGACTAGGTCAGGAATCGGAATACACTTAGAAGGTTCGCAAAAACCCCAGAGGTGCGAGTTCGGGCACCAGCAAATCAGCGAAGAGTTATACATTCTGTGTTGGCAACGATTCCCTAGAACGAGGATTTAAAGCCGGAACAAAGAGAATGTTTGGTGAATTTTATCAAGGGGAAAGACGTCACTGCCCTTCTTTCTACAGGATTTGGGAAAAGCTTAATATACCAGTTCGTCCCATTAGTGGCGCATTACATACATCACGACCAAATAGCAGCGATTGGTTAAATAAAAAAAAAGTACCCACCTACCGTCGAGCAAACAAATCGTAATGGTGCGAGGTCAGATAGTTTCTATGAAGTGAAACGGCTGATGAATCAGGCTAGCACGATATGGCATTAAATCTAAAGTCTATCTCCACAAAGACAAGCAGGCACCATCACCAGATCATGTTACAAGTCAGATCTGTAAAGGGAGGATGCCACTTGTAGTAGGAATGTGTCTTTTCAAGGTATTTTTAAGTAATCAAAACATCTATGAAGAGCAATAACATTTCCTCCAATACAATCATATGGCTTAAACTGCACCCGAAAAGTTACACTGTCCACCTTTAATGCACAAGATCAAACCAGTGACTGTTTATGTGTTCTTCTATGACCTCTTTAAGAATCAATATACGGTAGTAATAAGATATGCACCCACCTTCTCCTTTTTGCACTTTCTTTATAGCAGCAAATACATACAAAGACTTTACACCATAACAATATTTTAGAACATATTTATATATTCACATAAGCACAAAGATGGCGGCTGGAGATGTGATTATTTTAGTTTGTGCAGATGTCATTCACCAAAAGGCGTGTGGCTGCTTCTCTACTGATAATGTACAACAATATCAATGAGGGTAAAGTGACAACGACAAGTTAGTCACTTTACTAAGACATGACACACTTAAGATCATTATATTGAAGATTTTACTAAAAATGCTGTAATTTTTTTTTCAGAGTTTAGCAATATTTTTAGGTTTCATATTTTATTTTCTAGATCAAAATCGTGACATCACACTAGTGTACACAGATTATAATTTGTCAAATAAAAATATATGCACGCATCTTTATTTTGTTGAAATCATGTTTGAAACTTATCAGAAAAACATATTTTCAATATATTTTCAACTGTTCTTCACAAATTGCTTCTTGATTGTTATAAAACTATAATTTATATTTACAGCAAGTAGCCACCAGGTTAAGTAAAAAAATTGAGAGAAAAAAAAACTGTCATACTCACTTTAAGTTTGTATTACTACATTTGTTATTTTAAAGTCATTTTAAGCTTACACTTAGCCCATTATTTCTTTTAAGACATTTTCTCATTAAAGGTGCATCGTGTAACATTTCTGGCAGAGGATCTGTCAAATGATTTGCTCCATGGAGATGTTATTGCTTTATCTGGAATGTTTCAAGGTATGGCATTAAACTTTTCTATCTTCCTGGAGACCAAACCAGAAGAAGTTACAGGTCACAGTCAGAATGTCAGTTTTTCTGTTTAATGTCATACTACGGAACATTCCAGGCAGAGCAATGACATCTCCATAGCAACAAGCAGGTGACGGACCCTCAACCACAAAGTTAAATAGTGCACCTACTAGTATAAGCAACTTTCTTTAATGCTATAATTTTGGAATTGGCTTTGAATCTAAACATTTGAATCACTTATAGACTTACTTCAATTTTATTTTTAACTTTAACATTATTTTGAAGTTCGAGTACTTTTAACTCATGACAATTGTTGAGTACTTGTACCCGTGCTTTTGTTTCTATAAGACCTCCTGACCGGTATAGAAATAGCCACACGCCTGCACTGGTACATATTATTACTATCTGACAGTTGTGCGTGTCCTCCGCACCAGTTGTCCAGGGACAGCTCCACTATAGGGCCCTTCATAAGAGTCTGGGGTCTGTCCTGAGAGCCCTGCTGTGTCCTGGACGGGTGGGGGACAGTTGGTGCGGACAGCTGCGGTTGGCCAAAGAAGAAACACTCAAGTACATTCAGATAGTCCCCCAGTCAACTGGTTGGAGTTGTATGAAGCCTATGTAACAGCTACAGCAATAAATAAAACAGATTACAGCTTGATGTGAGTAAAAAACGTAGACTGTATAAAGAAGTGGACAAAGGGAGTGTGATGTCACCCGTGTTATAGGCATGAATTTGGAGTTCCAAATTAGGAAAAGCAATTTATTTACGGACAAAATAGTGAAATAAAAATGCCAGGATCATGTAGAGCGAGTTAATAAGAACATTTTAAGATAAAAATGACAAGGCTCACTGCAGCAGATACAGAAAAACAGGTGACAATTTTTCTATGTAAAGTCAACTGGAGCCAGGGTTGATGGAGCAGGAAGTGCGTTCATGCTCACTTCCTATTTGAAACATGACGGCTAGCGGGTTAGCTATGTCCATTTAAATATACAGTCTACAGTTGTTCCAGTTTTTGTCGTTCTTGTCCAAAATTATTGAGATGCTCCAGGCAAATTAACAAAAAGGTTTATTCCTAAAGTCCTCCATAAAGCTTTGCAATGCTTATTTTGCAACTTGTTTTACCACTGCTTACCACTAGATAGAGTCTTGAGGTTTTACTAGCAGCTGACGCGATAAAACAGCCAAGGTTCTTTTTTTTAAATTCACAGTCGACTTTAAACGCATCGTGAAAAAATGACATACAATCTCCCTGACTGTGTAAACATGCTATTCTCAACACATGCTTTAAATGCAAATGAGACTTGTTTTCGAAGCAGTAAAGGACGATTGTACTTTGCTTTTGTACAATAATAATAGTAACAACTCCATGTAAAACCAAAGAGTGTGAAGTTCCTCTAGTCCACGGTCTCCCCCAGTGAGAGACGCAGTTGTCCACGGTCTGGGACAGCATATGTCTTTGTCTGTCTTTTCCAATTCGGGAATGTTGTCCACAAGTTTCACATTTGTGTCTTTTTGTCCCACTTTTGTTGCCGTGTGCGTCCATCCTCACGCGCACAGACCTCCATAGCACAGGGCTGTAAGCAGACCATTACAGAGCATTACACTTCCCTCAAAGCAGGACTCAAAACCAGTACAAATCCTTGGTCTTATCCTGCGCCTGAAGACCTGAGAGACAGGAGTGGACAGGGGACACAAAAGCAGGAAGAAGTGAGGACAAAGGAGAGAAAAGAGAGATTATAAAAGCGGTGAACACACACACACATGCCCAAGGCGGAGGAAAGAAAACAGCGGAGGAGAGGAGGAGGTGACAGCTGGTGTCAAAGCGCTGACTGATCCGCAGCGTTCAGGGTAAACTGAGCTACAGGCTTCAGACCTGATTTACAAGCTCGAGTGGTTAGCTAGTGACGCTGATGTCGCAAATGTCCTCACTTTAGCAATTTATTATTTTTTAATCTAAACTTCACTGCATTTCACACACCTTCTCATACTGTCTGTACATATCCACGTAAATTTTGCAGTCTAATTTTGTGAATATTGCAAACAAAAATGTCTTGTCAAGTAAAACAAAGGCAGTACACATCGCTAATAGCTACTACTAAGCTCAATATACATTTTAATTATTATCATCCTCCAAAAATCAATGTCACAAATTTTCATTTACCGACTTTTGCCAGGCTGACTTTTCAAATAAGTTGATATATTCTAAGTTTATATGCCACATCCACAGACTGTATGTAGTGAATTTCTGATACTTTCCAGCAAACACAATAGCACAAACACACATTAGTTAGTTTAGCATTAATGACTCATGTGTACCTGTGTCCATGTTGAGTCCTATGTCCCCCGCTCCAGTGAAGGCCCCGCTCCAGGCTGCTCCGGCCCCAGACTCACCCTTACCCCCCAGGTCACACGGCGACGCGCTGGGGCCCGGCACAGAGCTGCTGGAGGCCAGGCGATGGTGTGAGCGCACAGAAGGCATGAGCAGAGAGCCATAGCGAGGGTCAAACGGCGTCCCGTACATCTCGTGCACCCCTGGCCGAGAGTACGCTGAGCTCTGTGAGGCTATAGCGCCGCCCAGAGAGTAGGGGTGGTGGTGATGGTGGTGATGGTGGGAGGAGTGCCAGGCGTCCGGGCTGGGCTGGTGCAGGTGGGAGTGCAGGGAGGCAGAGGTGTAGGGGTCCCCAGGAAAGGACAGCTCCGTGTGGGACGCAGAGAGCGCACTGCCCAGGGCCGAGGACACAGAGGGCTGGTATGAGCTGTTCCAGAACGAGGGCGGGAAACTCCTCTGGCTCATGGGAAATGTGCCGTCTGGGATACACACACGAGAGGGAACAATATATCATGTTTTGTTTTGTAAATGCAAGAAGAAAACTGGAATTTACATGACCTAACATTCTCTTATACAAAAACAGCTATCTCTAACACAGTAGCAAACTGTGGAATTCTAATATTCACTGTTGCTGCAGGTGGTATGTGTAAAGTCAAAACTCCAATGTATCAAAAAAATGTCATGCTCTTTAGAAAATGTAAACTCACACACTCATACAATTATGTGATCACAAAGTCATGAAATGAAGCCTCATAGAGAAGATTGTGAGTTTACAGTTCTTAAAACTGTCATAAGGTTCACTTCGTTACATATTTATCCACTATAAGAAGACAAATCTTACATTGCAGAATTAATATCAACTTTTTTTTTTTTTTTTTACCCTTAGCTCATTCCATTATTTCCAGTTATAGTAAGGGGCAATAATGCATGGAAAAATTACATTTCTTTTCTTTTTGCTAAACAAATTTAATTTTTAAATAATTAACCTTTTAAGACCAGATCGCAAACATCTGACAGAATTTATGAAAATAGGAGAAAATAGTTTTTACAATCTTTTTTTATTAAACATGGGTGCCAATTAAAATGAGACATCTGTGAGAATTTAATGCATTATGAATTTACTTGGAAAAAGAACTCCAACACACCGTTACTGTTAAAACCATGTTTTGAGAGGGCAAAAAATCACTGCCGAAAAGCTACAGAAGTTGAGGTGAGCCAGTCTCCAACACAACGTGACCCTCTGCATCATTATAGATTTGAGTTCTTCCAGCGTGAGTGGGGAGAGTTGTGTTAAAATAAGCACAAGTATTGATATTGAGTCTCCCCCTCACCTCTGCCCTTGTGAGAGGAGCTGTAGCTGGTCTGACTCAGAGCGCGGCTGAAATGCTCGTCCACCACGGCACTGATGTCTCCCTGGAAGTATGTGAAGAGGACACAGCGGGCGCTCAGGTACTCGGCTCCAGGGGGCAGCTCCTTGTCCTCCTCTTTGATGTTGGGGGGGCCACTGGAGCCCAGCACGCGGCCGCTGCTCTCCGGGTGCGCCTCTTGCATTTTGGAATACAAAGCCAGTTTCTGTAAAGTGTCATAGTGCGTTTGTTAAGATATTGTGAAATGATCCTTTTATGTTTTTATTCAAAGTAGACATTGACCTTTGACCTCAGCAGTGGTGGAATGTGCTTTTGGATGCGGCACAGGTGTGTAGGACAGATAAACCCACTAAGCCCCGTTTAACGCCTTCATGTTTATGTGGACGTGCCACAGCGGGCTCACTGTGACCCGGAGAGTTAGCGCTGCAGTCGGGCAAGTTAGCTGAATTTTAGAGCGTGTTTAAATGACACACAGTTACATCAGGTCATTTGCACTTAAGGTGAATGTAACAGCATACATATTTATGAGTATTATCTAAGATAACTTACTTTCAAATTAGCTTTTTTATGTTCAGTCACAACAGGAATTTTAACACTTATTTAATTAATCGAGAAATTGACTCTTAAACTTAGAGATGATTTGTGTGTAGTTTCTTTCATCTAACACTTCATATTTATTCTATTGCAAACACGTTTCATATTTCTCTAAACAAATAAAATCTATTTTAAAATTGTGGCATCTTAAATAAATAAGTTCTAAAAATCATTTGACTAGGTAGCTTATTTCCATATTTTGTAAAAATGTCTCTAATAAAGTAAAAATCTAAGCAAATCAAAATCACCCATAAGATAATGTAAGTATAATAGTGCATGTCACATATAAGAAAAGAAATGAGCCCAGAGTGTAATAAAAATAGCGGAGGCAGCGGCTGATGCTGGGTCTATTTCAGCCTCAGACAAAGTGAGTTTTGGCACTATGTGAAATATGTCCTGCATGTTGACTGAGAGCCTTTAAAGAGAGTGGGAAAAAGGAGAGGACTTTTACAGCTCGGAGAGGGCCTCCTGCTGCCAGGACTCAGACTACAGCAAACATTAAGCAACTTGGCATCATCTGTTTACAGCAAAACACCAACAACTTCATTAAGATGGAGTTCAATTAAATTTGTGTTTTTAAGAGAAGTTGAGTAAAAAAGAAAAAAAGAAAAAAAACTACAACAAACATTTGTGAGCAAAATGTATTATTCAACTTGAAATTAATAAATCATTAACTATAACAAGATGATTAAACAGTAAAGTTACGATGTTGTGCACTAGACATACAGCCTACTGTGATGAAATTTTGCAGAAGAGAAAAATAGAAGTAGCCTACGTGTCTAATTTAGCATCAATAAAACGACTTAAGCAGACTCTGGCACAAAGCATTTTTAATTTTTTTGGTTCTCTCAGAATTTACAATTTCTTAATTAATATTTTTTAATTCAGAGCGTTCTGGGGCAGAGAAAGACGGCGCACAGTGCGTCATGCACCGAACGCAAGGACTTTTACGCACCAAAAAGTTTGCTAAAGCTACTTTACAAGTCTAAGTATTTAAATAAAGTAAATCCAGGTTATTATCCGGTGCCGTTGGTGGAGGTTCGTACCTGGTGATGGTATGGGCTGTAGGAGCTGAAATAAGGCTGAGGACCAAACACTTGGTACATCACATCCAGGCAGCTCATGGCGGAAAACTCACGAAGAAGAAGCACGCGTCATGAGGGTTTGGCTGCTGAAGTCGCGGCTGAAGCAGCGGAATAATCCCGGGACATACGGAGAGAGCCGCGGACCCGAGGGCCTCTGATCACCGCTGTGTCTGCCGCTCTGCTGCGCGCGCTCTACCCAACACTGAACACACGCGCGCACAAGGGACCCCCCCCCCCCAGCCCCCGCGTGGCGCAGCCTGCAGTCTACAGCCAATCACAGGCCACTTACAGCACAGCTTTATGGGCTTTTAATTACTGGACATTAGTGGTCCGTGTTACGCCTTAATATGTTTTTAAGTAACTCTGAACATTTGAACAATGCCATGTATGAGCTAATTACCCTATCCTGCACAAGGCACATGCAAAGATCATTAATGAACAGCACTTTGAGCGTCTTCACCGGATGTGCTTTGTTTACGGTCTAAATTTAAAGTTTTGCTGTCCACTATAATCGTAGAATCTCATAAATTGCGTTTTGAACTTAAAGGAATATAACCTCATTTTACTTGATCTGGACTGAGGAGCTCAGCCACATGTTCCTGCAGAGATGTTATTGTTAAATGTTCAGTTTTCAAAGTGAAACTTCTTCAGTGAGACAAATAGGTCAGATCTGTGGAGAGGAGACCCACTCACAATTAGAATGCATGTTTTCATTGTTTTTGTCTAATAGAAGACAAAAAATGCAATCTGTGAAATATTTCCCACACAGCAATAACATCTCCATGGAAATAACCACTCCATAAAAGTTACGTAATGCACCTTTAACATAGGACTGTAGCCTTTATAGAGACAATCACAGAGGTCACAGACAGCAGGCCTATTCTCTGTCAGTTCCATGGAGAATGTCAGCTCGGACAGTGTTTTGTTATATCACATTGGCACACTACAGTAATGCTTTGGAGGCAAATCGCCGGCTCTCAAAAAGCACAACAAACCAGCTGTGTGAACCACACTTACCAGATTCCCAAATCATGAGGGTCAAAGGTCAAATGTGGCTCCTAGTTTGGTGCTTTTACTAGATGTCAGGGGTCAACAGTGGTAGTTATTTCAATGCAGGGCAAACACGGTTAATTACTGTAAAACATTTCGCACCAGGGCTCAGAGCCAGATAAACATTACCAAATTTGTGCCTTAAAGTTAACATGCTGCCTGTGTCCCATATTACCATGTTTTCATGTGGGCTAATTACAGGATATTAATATTGCCACAGGCTATACCCAGAATTCCTTGGCCTAATCCAGGCACTGATGAGGCAACACAGCAGGAAGGCAGTCACCGATTTATCCAAAACTGACCTGTTTTTACCAGTCCTCTGTAATTAAGACTTGGGTTGATGGAGATTTTGTTGAATGGTCGAATGTTATTAGAGAGATTATTACTGTTAATATTTAGCAAGGTTCTGTACATATATGTGTATTTATATAAAAGAAATGTGTTTTTTCAAATACAATCCATCTTTAATTTGCTGTAATGAGGTGTAGCTTCACAAAACTGCTCCCTGAAAACTTTTAATGGTTTTAGGTTTTCAAAGGAAGAGCTAGTTCAAAATATTCCAAAATTCTGGTGGTTTCAACTTTTGCAAATTAACCCCACTTAAAAAAATATCAAATTCAATCAAATTCAATATATTCAAAAGAACAGTCTAGAAAAAGAAATGGAATTTTTACATTTATCTAAAATTGCTGTGTGGCTGGTGTGTCCTCTCCTGTGACCCCAGTTAGCAGCTCACCTGTTCTTCACAAGTGTAGCAGCAGTGAGGCTAATAAAACCCAAAATATCCAGCGCTCAAGTACCAAACGCAGGGGCCCAGTACAAGTCTGTCAGGAACGCCAGGTATCCACTCAGCTAAAGGCTCCAACCAATTTGACAATTTAAAAAATATTTTTATTTCATCCTTTAATAACGTTTTTAAACACTGCTTTTTAATAATTCAAAATGTTTTCCTTTTTTAATTATGTGAATTTCATTAAGAATAACCTTCGATTTTATGTTTTTGGCCAGGACACACTGACCAGTCACAGGGCTTAGTTTAAATAAAAAAAATGTATGGATGAAAAACACAGTCACATACTGTAGTGAAGAGAGAATTGTACCAATCACCTTTCTGATTGTGAAAAATGACATGACTGGATAAAACAAATCTACAACAAAACCCTGGCACCATTATTCCATTGTTTTTCTTCCACTTATCCACTTATCAGAGACCATAATACACAACTTTTGAGCAACTAAACAATTGAAAATACCAAATGTAACAATTCTAAATTGTTAACAAACTTTTGAACCACAAACGAAATCCATTTCAGGGTCTTTTCAGAGTGAAAATAGAAAATAGACAAACAGAAATATGTTTTAATGGACATTTTCAACAGTGGCTCACGCATTCCTCAGGTGGAAGAATGCTATCAGAGTATACACTGAAAACATGAAACTCTAATACAGTAACTCAGAGTTTATAAAAAGGTTCATCTCTGTCAATTGGACAAACATTTTAGAGTGAATATGAGCTTTGTCAGACCCACTTCAACCTTATCTTTTGAGGGATAACAGCGGGATTTTCAAACAGTCAGAAACACAGAACTACAATTATACCATACTCCCTACAACTGTACAACAACTCACCCTGATGTAACAGATAATACTCCCTACAACTGTACAACAACTCACCCTGATGTAACAGATAATACTCCCTACAACTGTACAACACAACTCCCCCTGATGTAACAGATAATACTCCTACAACTGTACAACAACTCCCCTGATGTAACAGATAATACTCCCTACAACTGTACAACAACTCCCCTGATGTAACAGATAATACTCCCCAACTGTACAACTCCCCCTGATGTAACAGATAATACTCCCTACAACTGTACAACAACTCCCCTGATGTAACAGATAATACCCTACAACTGTACAACAACTCCCCTGATGTAACAGATAATACTCCCTACAACTGTACAACAGCTCACCCTGATGTAACAGATAATACTCCCTACAACTGTACAACAACTCACCCTGATGTAACAGATAATACTCCCTACAACTGTACAACAGCTCACCCTGATGTAACAGATAATACTCCCTACAACTGTACAAAGCTCACCCTGATGTAACAGATAATACTCCCTACAACTGTACAACAACTCACCCTGATGTAACAGATAATACTCCTACAACTGTACAACAACTCACCCTGATGTAACAGATAATACTCCCTACAACTGTACAACAACTCACCCTGATGTAACAGATAATACTCCCTACAACTGTACAACAACTCACCCTGATGTAACAGATAATACTCCCTACTACACCCTGATGTACAGATACAACTGTACAACAACTCACCCTGATGTAACAGATAATACTCCCTACAACTGTACAACAGCTCACCCTGATGTAACAGATAATACTCCTACAACTGTACAACAGCTCACCCTGATGTAACAGATAATACTCCCTACAACTGTACAACAGCTCACCCTGATGTAACAGATAATACTCCCTACAACTGTACAACAAGCTCACCCTGATATGTAACAGATAATACTCCCTACAACTGTACAACAGCTCACCCTGATGTAACAGATAATACTCCCTACAACTGTACAACAGCTCACCCTGATGTAACAGATAATACTCCCTACAACTGTACAACAACTCACCCTGATGTAACAGATAATACTCCCTACAACTGTACAACAACTCACCCTGATGTAACAGATAATACTCCCTACAACTGTACAACAGCTCACCCTGATGTAACAGATAATACTCCCTACAACTGTACAACAACTCACCCTGATGTAACAGATAATACTCCCTACAACTGTACAACAACTCACCCTGATGTAACAGATAATACTCCCTACAACTGTACAACAACTCACCCTGATGTAACAGATAATACTCCCAACTGTACAACAGCTCCCCTGATGTAACAGATAATACTCCCTACAACTGTACAACAGCTCACCCTGATGTAACAGATAATACTCCCTACAACTGTACAACACAACTCACCCTGATGTAACAGATAATACTCCCTACAACTGTACAACAGCTCACCCTGATGTAACAGATAATACTCCCTACAACTGTACAACAACCCTGATGTAACAGATAATACTCCCTACAACTGTACAACAGCTCACCCTGATGTAACAGATAATACTCCCTACAACTGTACAACAGCTCACCCTGATGTAACAATAATACTCCCTACAACTGTACAACAACTCACCCTGATGTAACAGATAATACTCCCTACAACTGTACAACAGAACTCACCCTGATGTAACAGATAATACTCCCTACAACTGTACAACAACTCCCCCTGATGTAACAGATAATACTCCCTACAACTGTACAAGAACTCACCCTGAATGTAACAGATAATACTCCCTACAACTGTACAACTCACCCTGATGTAACAGATAATACTCCCTACCAACTGTAACAACTCACCCTGATGTAACAGATAATACTCCCTACAACTGTACAACAACTCACCCTAATATAACAGATAACCCTTTGTCATGTCAGTCTTTCTCCTTAAGACCTCTTGTATACAGCTGAGAGATATTTGTATATATATTTTTTTTTTTACATAAACATTTGTATAATTAAGCCTTATTTGACACCAGTTTGCTACTTATTTTGAATTTATTATTATCATTTATATTTTTGCTCTTTGTTATTTAAATATATTGTCATGTGTGAGCTGCTGTGTTCAAATAATTTCCCTTGTGGATTCAGTTTTTTTAAACTCAAAGTCTAATATAACGGGGAGGAGTCTATTGAGCATTTGCCTTCTGTAAACAATTAATTTATTGTCATTCAAAAAATATGAATTTTTACATGAACATTTGTGATTCCATTGGTCTTAATTTGCTTTATATGGATTGCGTTTGGAGCTCAGACTAATTTCATGTTTTATTAGGGAATGACCTTGTGAGAGCTCCAGGCCAAATGAACTGTCCATAAGTACTTTGGTTCAATGTCTCCTTTTTATTCAGTTAAAGATTTAGTTTTGAGGTCATTTCAAATAGTTTAAGCCACAGACAGAATTAACCCATTTTTATACTGTCCATGA